GCCAATTCCTTATCAAACTTGTTCGGGTGGGCGTCGCGATCGCGAGGCAAACATGACACAACAGGAGGAGGATGAGGTCGGTGAGGATGAGGTGTTCGCGGCGACTCATGAGAAAGGGACGGGGGGCGGGGAGGCAGAGGATGGATTTGGATGGGCAGATTCGAGGGGAAATGGGAAGAATCACGAGAGGTGGTCAGGTGTAATGGTTTGCAAGGGGCCTTTGGGATGGGGGGAGGGTGGTAATGGATGATATTGTCGAGATCGATAGGCACCATGGTTTGCACAGGAGGCACGATAGAATGAAGCGGTTGGAGCAAACAACAGGGAGGGTACACTGTATTCTAAAAATCCAATTCTTTCACTCGCGCGCGGAGGAGGGTCCTTTATACTGAGATGAAGGGAAGAAACGCTAGCGATACATGTCCAGCATCCTTCTCCGAACGAGGAATCCCAAGACTCTTTATATGCAGCCCCTGAGACCTCCTTTCATTTGACCTTGGCTTCTCCATCCGGGGCGGCTTGGGAAATTGGATGGGACTGACCATTATCACGGAGCCAAAGTGCGGCCCGTCGGTAATGGACCGTGATACATCAACTTTCGGAGAAAGAAGACCAAGGGGTCAGATAGCAAGCCGCTACAGCATGCGGCATTTTTCCAATTGGACGATAGTGTCACATCGTCAGGTTTGGTCCGATCTCTCCGACACCGATCAGCTTTGCTGCGCCTTGCTAAAAGACGTCCAGAATCAAAGGACCGCCCTTGGAGATTACCAGGGCGCAGCCGGAGGAGTTATTCAAGTGAGCGGCCAATACCATCACAGCATTTGGAGTTCCGATGCGGAGTTCTCCGAGGCAGCTGTACGAGGCAAAAGGCTTCGCGAACAAGTGAGACACCTGGTCAGTCTGCGCCACGGCGTCAAGACGAAGGATCGGCGAGAGAAGACGAGCCAATGGCACACGGGTACGCAGATTGGACAGCGCACGAAAGAGCGATAGTCGGGTAGCGTCGTATCGTAGGGGCATTTGTGCAAAGACGAGAGTCAATCCAGTCTCCTGCCAACAACTGGGCACTGTTGATGCCCACGAGAGAGAGACGGAGATATACAGGCGAGGTGGTGGGAAGCCCGCACGTATCCAGAGGGCAAATTCTCTCCAGCCAAGATTGTGGACCGGCAACCGCAGCTGAAAAAAATAAAAAGAAACACCAGGGCGATGGACCAGTGGACCAGTAGACAGCGCTGCCGGCGGTTTGGGCGGTGCTCCAGCCTGTGGAGAAGGGGTACCGCTCCGTGCGTGAGGCAACCAGCTGAAACAGGGCGTCCAGTGCCGTGTGATCCGGGAATACGGTATCATTTCACGGCGGCGAGGTCGCTGGGCCCGGCCGGGCGAGAGCGAAAAGTAGCAGACGAGAGTGAGGACGTCGAGCGACGCACCGAGTTATATACTTGTGTCGGTGGGGCCAGCTGGCGGTGGAGGGAGGCAGAACCCCCCGTTCGGGGAAGGCGTGGGCCGCTAGACCATCTTTGGACGTGCTAAGCCTAAAGAAGATGGGATGGATCTCGATGCCATTTTGGGGCTAGCGCCACGCCAAACCGCATCGGGACCGGCTCATCCCGAACGAGGCACCCGAGGGCGGGCGCCAAACCCGATCGAGGCGGGCGCCGAATCCGGCCGCACCGGCACAAATGGTTGTTGTACGATAATCCGCCAGGTTGGATTCTCTATGAACGCTCCACCACCGCTCCACCACCGCGCCACGTGGCAAACAAAATAAGAAGTGGGGTAAGGGGGCGAATTTGAGGTTTGAATTTGTAGTTCGCTTATCGCTAGATTAAGAAGTCTTAACTAACCACAGAAGTTTGGGGGGCGGCTTGAGTCAAGGCCTTGTTTCTCCATCTTCACCGCACACACGGCTCGGAACTTCGAGAACTCTAATTAGCCCAGTCATTTGCTTCAAGCAATGTGTTCAATAACGCCGTGCTCCTGCCACTTCTATCGGCACTAAGGGAAGACACTTTCACTAGCGAATATATTCAGGCTACCCCGCATCTCTTCAAATCCTTATCAAATGATTCACTGTTTTCACTGTAAAATAAAGAAAAATATACATATACACATATAAATAAAATAGCGGTACTTCGCCAGAGATGCAAAAGCTCGAGCGAATAAAGACATACTCATGTCAGACGGCCATTCAACAAATGAGCATAATCCCCAGAACACATTCCATATCCTTTGGTGAGGCTGGCATCAGTAATATCCGAGTGGTCCGAAGCGGGTACTCTATTAGGCCGCCGTCGAAGTTTATTAAGAGGGGTGATAGCGATAGGAAGGTGGCAGTTTGGCCTACTGAAAGTGTCAGAGTGCAGGTCCAAGTAACAGGTATATTAGGAGTTAGCGTAGCGAGGATCCGGAAAAATTAGTGAGTTTTGTAGGCGGCCGATTATCCGTTCGGCCGTGTTATCCGTTCCGTCGTGGATTTCGTTACCATGGAATTGTACTCTGTTTGTAAGCGGGGCTGAAGCGATAACTAACTATGAGGTTGTAACAGGAATGGCCTGTATAGCTATGGAAATACACTAGATGCCAATCAGGGCAACAGAATCAAAAAGGGGAAAACAATGATGATTATGAAAAAGTTCAATTATCGGCACGACTTTTTCAAAGTACTGTATCACTTTAAATCTCCTCCGATCGAGAGGAGTCTAATTGTTCTGCAGAGGAAATCTATTATTGACTCAATTTTGCCCGTCCGGACCACATGGCTCAGGTGATATTACTCCTAGCAGAGACAGATGAGATCTGCTGCGAGTCCCGCCTGTTTCGCCGGAATTTTCGAGCTTCCGTCGCAGTTAAACTTTAGACGTGGGAGAACTTTACTTTTTAGATTAATCATGACCATTTGATGATCTGACCCTTCAGCAATACAGCTTGAGCCTTTCGACACCAAAGTTTGGGTGGCAGGCACCTACATTAGTCCGCCCTGTAGGGCCAACTCTCTGACTCCTGTTTCATTATTCTTACTTTATAATTCTGTCATTTTTCCCATTTTCGAATTTACCTTATTTCTTTGGGTCCACGCTTATTTTTCCCTCTTATTGTTACTCCATCCTTCCCCTCCCTCGACGGGATCTGCTACTTTCTCTACTTTCCCCTGCTTCTCCCCCTCGGGATTTATTCATCGACCATCCTAAAACCATAATCACGACTTCATTCTTTGGTCGCAACTTCGTCCGTCACATCTCGATCTCATTTGGGATCATCCTAACTTTCACCTCATCTCCATTCTCCACTGCCTAGTCGCCGGGTTTATCGATATCACTCGACCATCATGCGGTTGCATCTGTGGTCGATCCTCTCCGTGGTCGGTGCGATCGCATCGTCGATCCCCCTCTCAACCGCTCACGAACTGCATCTGCCCTATCTCCCGTCACTCAGCCCGGAACATGATTCGGATGCCTATCTGGTAAGCCATCTCCGCAATTTCCCGTTAATGGCAATCTCGAAAACTAATATACATTCAAGTTTCTCAAATGGACCGTGACGAATGGGTCCCTCTATGCCAACAACGATCAGATCTTCCCGCCGACAATCCCCATGCAACTACATGCGCCTCAATTCAAAGGCCAGGCAAACGCTGGTGTGGGCGAGGATGATCTAGAACTCTCTTACTCTCTGCATGCCCGGCCACTTTCTTCCAAAGAAGCTGGCGCGACCTCCAAGATTGTGCGCGTGCGTGTCGATTTAATGGATTTCCAGGGAGAACCCGTCACTCCCAACGCTGTCGTACTGGATTTGCTCGCCCATCCCGATGGCGGTCAGCGGATTACGCGGATCCAAATGGAACCCGGGAAAGGCCATCGCGAGGGCCACGATCGACCTTGGCACATGAAGTTCTGGCAAACCCAGATGGCGGGGATTATCAACCACACCGACAAACTGAAGGAGAACAAGGAGGTCTCGTCTCCCGTTCAGCCTTCTCGCGCCACGACCGAGCAATCCACGCAAGCACGTCCCAGCAATACCGCCCAGACCGACGACATCGAGGAAGCCACCCAGGTCGGATTCATCTTCTCTCCCTACTGGTCCCCATCGGCCTACTCACACCGTGGCCATGGCCACGGCCACCCCCATCGAACGACCGTGACCGGACCTTTATGCGCCTGGCGCGCCCAGTCATTCTCCCTGCCATCCTGGGCGCCGCCGCAGGTCTGGTAGTTTGCCTAGTGGGCTTCATCATCGGCTACGTCTGCATGTTACTCTCAGTGCGCCTGGGTCTCCACAAAAACAAGTAACAGGAATATCCTGTATAGCTAGGGAAATACAATGGATGTACTAGGCGATTGGCGCAACGGAATCAAAAAGGGGAACTACCCAAAATGATGAGATCAAAAGAGTGTTGATTCCTGTCTCCTATCTACTGGGATCGAGGGGGTAAAAATAGCCTCGAGAATACCTGGTATCGAATCCTCTAGAATCCCAGAGGTACCGTTTGGGTCAATACGATGCTGATCACCATTTTCCTGACAAATTTCAAGTCATCCTGAATATGAATTTGAAGGTATTGTTGGGACGGTGTAAACACCATATTTTGGACAAAAACAGATCAAATTTCAGGAACCTTACGAGATGAAAGCAAAAAGTGGCAGACGTAGCGCCGAGGCACACGACTTCTATAGAGCTGGGCTCCAGCTTTCTATATTATGAGAAGTGACGTCATCATGGCGTAGCCCATTGTTGCATGAATGGGAATTACCCCACTTTCTTAGTGTCAGTGTAACTGGTACGACGGATTCTGATCAAGAGAAAAGGTTTGCGAGTATCTGATACAGTAGTTTTCGAAACCAGTTACATGTATGCGTCCACACTCTTGCTACTTAATTCGCAGAAGGTAAATCCGTGGCGCTAAACCAATGTAGGTCATCGCATCATAGTTCCAGCAGAACGTCATCGTAATCATAGTACTGCCATGGATGAGTCATCGTTATATATTGTACTATAATAATAATAAAAATTAGAAATGCACCACGGCACCATACCGATATTTCGCGAGATATGGCATAATCAGAAACAAAATCCCAGACGTAAAGTGACCATGACCGTCCATAAGCAGAAGCGGGCGCAAGACATTCAGCATCAAGGCCAAAACTTCAAACCATGCCGCAAGAGAATATCAGTACAAACCGACCAGGCACGCTGCGAGGAAGGATCTTTAGCAGACATCTCATTCAGCCATCGAGTCGCTTTCTGCACTCGTTGGATAAGGCTTGTGGCCTTGGCTGTACCCAGATGAGTGCGAGTAAAGAGCTCGACAAGGAGAATAGTCGTCGACTGCATAATATTGTGGAGGACACACCACCATGGAGCAATGCTATACAGCCAATAAGTATCTGCTGACTCAGGTAGTAAGTCTAGCATTTGACACGCGGTCTGGACGCATATCGTCGCCATATCGTCGCATGTTGCCCCTGGAGATCTTGGTTCCGTCGAAGACTGGCAGAGACGGAGAGAGGGTTGCGTGATGATCAATTTAGTGGCGTAGAATCTGAACGCGAGACTGGCACTTTGCTGTGTGAATGGCTGTGCTACATTGGTGTTTGGCGTTGCAAAATTGAATTCGGCTGGTAGATGAGAAAGCCAGTCGTCAGCGCGGTCATTGAAGGTAGAAATTGCTGTTTCAATCTCGCGACGCGATAATCGCGTCGCTCTAGGGGCATATAGGATGTTTATCGTCTCTCGTAGGAGATGGGCTAGATCCACCGCGTATAAAAAGTAGAGAGACGTGTTTGGTGTTAGACTAGGTGTTTGACTCTCAACCAGTGCTTCAGGGGTTCGGATCTCCCGCTTTCTTTGACTGAATCCCAGTTGGGGCGGATGCTTGCGACTCACACCATCCTGCAGAGGAGTCAAGGTGCTATTAGGAAGCAAGGAAGTAACGAATGCACCTCGAATCTCTTGTCTGGTGATAAGCTGCACGACCCGATCATCCCGAAAATCCTCTTCTTGGAATGGTGCTGGAAGGGGTGTCGTGTAGAATATTTCTCTCATGCTTAGAGGACGACCGGTCATCTCGCAAAGAACTGTATCTAGCATGAAAAGCGCCCACCATAAACGGTAGCGAATTTCTTTCGAGAATTGCGGGACACTCTCGCTCTCGCTCCGAAGATTCAGACCCATTGTCACCGCCGATCGAATCGCGATCCCAATAATTCTCCAAGATCTAGAAGATGATATCACATATCAGAAAGCTTCCGCATATACACAGATACAAATACCGACCTATTGACTTGCCCAATAGACAGAAGATAGAACGCGGCCAATCCCTCAACCTGCACCTGTTGCAGGTCCGGATGGTCCAGCAATGCGACTTTGCCTATACTCAGACTCCAGGCCCGTGCAAAGAATGTCTGATGATCATCCTGGTCCGGCTGGAGCTGATCGGTCAGGACTGCATATCTCGTCGCAATAGCAAAGACCAAGTTTAGCAATGCCAGCCATCTCTTGCCAGGTCGCAAATTCGGATTTGAGTAAAAGGACCGGTATTGGTGCAGGAACGTGACCCTGCCGAATATCGGGAATGCAGGATGCACGGCGTAAAAGTAAGCGTCAACGAGGTTGTCAGCAAGGTGTTGCGGGGGCCAGTGTGTGAAGTCGATGGTGTCGGGCAATAAGAGGTCTGAATCATCTTGGAAGTAATTCACGGAGGAAATCGCAGGGCGTCCAGGGGTCTCCTCGATTGGTGGAAAGCTATCTTGATCGAGGTCGCGTTTAAGTCTGTACAACCATGCCATCTCCGAGTGTTCGCCAACGAAACCCATGGCCTGTACCTTGTCATCCCGATTATAGTCCTCGTCTGTGTACTCCGCAGTACCAAACGGAGAGCCCAGGCTAGCATCTGTGAAGGACAACGAAGGGTTCACCTGCCAAGTATGGCTTGGTAGGAGGGTGGGCAAGTTGGGAACAGCAGGATTGGACGGGGGGAGCGGAGTTCGAGAGCGTATTTCCTTCAGTGTCTGATCCACTAGCTGGGATGATAGAACATCGAGCCTGGGATAGATATCACGCAGCAGGGATTCAAGCGTGTCAACCTGCGAAGTCAGATCATTCAACTGCCTAATTCTATTAGAAGCGTCCTAACTTGGTCAATGTGTCACCCACTTGGCCATATTTTCCTTCTTCCGGTCGCCATAAGAACACACAACGCCGGCATCTTGACACCGATGGCAAACTGGGCGTTGTCCGCTGCATTTGGCCTTTTGATCGCGACAATTTTCACAAGCTCGACTCACTCGACCTCTGTTAATCCAATTGGTGCGTTGAGCATTTCGCGGGATGGGAACTTTGGCATTTGCTCTATCTCCTGGGGGTGTGAATGAACCTCCAGGGATAGCCGCCTCGAAAGAAGGAAGTGCTATACTAGGCACAGCCCAGTTGTCATGAAACAGTGCCAACTCGTCCACCTGTTCGGGGTGTTTCAAATAGGACGGGACACCGAAGCTGGCACTCATTATCAAGGAACAGTGAAATGCAGTGGGAAGCTAAAAGCATTCGAGCGGGAGATTTGCCCCTTGTACATGTTTGACTGACGACTTGATTACAAGACAATATTCTCGGAGTCTAACCAATTGGGTTCACCGCTCTGTAAAACTGGCAGAACGGTAATGGTATTGGTCGTCGTACATTGGGGGGTCATCGACATTACAGTAGGCAGAAACGACTCTTGTGTCGAACTGAGGGGTTGGTATTTTACCACTAAGGACAGGGCTACTCATCAAGTACCCATTCTCTCTTTGTCTCTGTATGGTAAACGGGGTACGCTCGGCATACCAGCGTCGTAACACGCTAGGAACGACTCCTGAGATCTGATAACGCTTCAACAGCAAGATCCAGATAGATACAACTACCAATGAATCTCAATGGGACACCTCAATACTAGCACATACCAGTATCTGTCAATCCGACAGAATTGAATAACTCAAGATTAAACTTTTCTGCATATCGTTACAATCACTAATTCCCCACTAGTTCCCCACTGTTTCCTCCGTCATTTTCGCCATGTCATCTTTGACCCAATTCCCAGAAAGACTTGTGCTGAAAAGAGATCCCCTTCCACCGCCAATGTGGTGACAATCTCAAGAAGCTCATACACAATATGAGGACAGAATCTTTATCATGCATTCTGCTTCAACTTCGCTAAAAACATGCGAAATCTATGAATGAACGGCTCCGTTTTTTTGTTTCGAAAAATCACATGAGCATCTCGATCTTAATCAGACAAACCAAATTGAACCCTTTGCTGCCACCATCTTTCTAGTTAGAAAATATAGTGGCTTTCTATGCGTTTTGTATCATGAAAGCTGCCTGAAAAGAAGACCGAACGCTACACGGACAGCCAGATCTTGGCTGTGCCTCTGCCGGGATAAAATACAACACACATAGCCGCCAGGTGCGTTGTACTTAGCCTATTTCCTCCCTTCACCTTGCTAACCCCGAGCAACTCGGCTGCTTGGTGATGGCTGAATTCTACGACGACCACGGGGGAAGTGTCGTCGAACTCCGTAGGGGTGATTGATACTGGTTTGCTGAGCTTATCATTATCAACGAAGAAGGTGCGGAAGAATGCCGTGTCTATTTGGAGCTGTCAAGTGTTAGATTAGATTGGGTAGAAACGATGCTGTGACTTACATTTATGACTGTCCGGTTGAGCGCGTACTTGTTCAAAGCCAGTGCTGCTTTGACGCGGTCTCCAATCTGCTTCTTGTCCATTGAGCAAGTCCCAACATCTTTTTTGACGGCCCTCTTTGGGTTGGGTCTTGTACGGGCCTTCTCCGTCGGTTTCTTCTGGTCCGCCTCGACGGGTGAAGACGCGCGGTGAATAAGATTATTAGTTGCAAGCGCCGATTCAAACTACTCGGAATGAAGCAATAACCCACCTTTCGTGATGCTAACATGTCGTCGAGCTGGTCAAGAAGCTGATTCAGAAATATGTAAGGAAGTGGAAGAAAGAGCGGAACCTCCGTATTTTGGAGAGAATGCGGAACCGATTTTGAACACGCAAAACGTATTGGGAGACGCGTTGTCGAATGAGACTCGTCTAGTTGTGGTACGCCACTCTGGAGTACCGCTCCTCAGATCGTCGAATCAAAATCGAGAAACCACTTTGCCCCCGGCGCCGACGATCCACCCAAATTACCCCTCGTCCTGGAATATCCTCTTTCCCCCTCCTTTTCCATCTACCTACACTATTGACAGCTACCTTGATAATTATTCTCTGTCCGTATTCTGCCAACATGTCTTCCAACAAGGGATACAACATCACCAGCTCTGGCATGAACAGCCAGGTATGTCACAACAAGCCTTCAAGTCCTGTCTCGTTCCTCGTACTTCATGATCTGCCGTGAACCCTCTTCCATATTACGTACTAATTAAGAAGTATTTGGTGTGGTAATGACAAAGGAACAGGGTAATCACTATTGCTCCCGCGACTACGGCTCCAGCGTCTCGAATTCGAACAACTACCACTATTCGAACTCGTAAGATGGACCAGCTACCTAGGCTTGACTTTTCTATCCCATGCATTGACCATCATTTCTAGAAACGGCTCTTATTGCTACTCTAACCCCAATGGGAGCACCTACTACAACAATGGACAGGGGGGCTCGACCTATACTACTCCCTCGGGCTCTGGGAAGAAATAAGTCCAGCTAGACTAAGAGTATTCACTGGATTGACAACCATAAGTCTAGCTAGTAATATTTGAGTCTTGTTGATGATAAGTTTTGCCTCGTAATGGATATGCACACCTCAATACACATAAAGCAGAGCTAAGGTCACCATAGCAGGCAAAACTTCTCTATTTCCCGTCAACAAATTCGTTAAGCTCTTAGAAACATTGCTAAGAGCCCAACGAGAGGTTGGGACCAGAGGAATCGGTGACTGAGGGGCGGGCTGTTGTGATATGAGGCTGGTGCAGATCTGGAAGAAAGCCGCACTGTCGGAAATAATTCCCGAAGTGTCTATACGAAGAAGCATGTTGATTGAAGATCAACTTGGACCTCATATGTATATATAGACTCCTGAATACTCTCAGAATCACAACCAACACAATACCACAGGACTATAACAGGTTATGAGCCCCGAGAGCAAATTCTCGGGGCCGTCACTACTCACACTGAGAATAATGTCACCTACATTGAGCTCATATCCCCGCTTTTTGCAGTCATCATGTCCGCTCTGGTCCACAACTCGCCCGACGGAGCCGTCAAGCACAAAGTTTCTGATCGATCCCGATCCCTGGCACCGCAAGCAGCCGTCGTAGGAGCACGGTATCCAATCTGGCCGCGGCGTGATGGAGAGATGTAGACGGCGTCTCGGACTTTCCGCGGCCTCCTACAAAGTTAACGTTAATGTCTTTCTCGGCCAACAGCCTTTCGGCGATCTCGTCGCAGGACCAGTAAGTCGATAGCCATAGTCGTGTATTGCCATCTTTGTCTTTGCAGTTCACGTTAGCGCGGGGGTGACATAGGAGCAAATTGACCATCTCTAAGCGTTTGTTTTGAACGCGAGATGGAGCGCCATAGAGCCTTTCCGGCTCCGGATGTCCAAATCCAGAATTTTTTGTCTGAGAAGTCGTTTGACAGCATCTACCGATCCATAGGCCACTGCTTGGTGAAGAGGTAGATCAGCTTCTTGTGATGATTGGGTACCAAGAAACACCTCGGCCATCGAATTATTTGAAAAAATCGTTTCCATCACGGTTCTATTGAAGCGACACGCCCAGTCCTATGGCGAGCGGCCTGAATCATCTTGTAGATCAGGGTCGCTGCCACTAGAAAGTAACAGATGCACGAACCCTATTCTGCCTGTGAAGACTGCTAGGTGGAACGCCGTTCGGCCGTGTTTGTGCTTGACGTCCACTCTGACGGTGACCTGTTCTAGAACGCTCTTGATAGTGGAAAAGGTTCCGTAGTGGATAGCATACCACAGGGCGCTCTCCCGCGCTTGATTTTGAATGTTGATGTCTAGGTCTCCACGACTGAGCAAGAGGTCCCGCACAGCAGCGGAAGAGTATTTGAGCGCCCTCATTAAAGGAGTTTTGCCTCGGTAAAATGCATTGACGTTGGCGTTGTGCTGGAGCAAAGCCTCCGCAAGACCAATGTTGTCGTATTTGACGGCCAAGTGCAAAAGATTGCTGTTCTGAAATTTGATGTTGTATTTCCAGATGCTGGGCTGCAGTTTAAAATCAAAGTCTTTGCATGATTTTGCAAGGGCAAATAATGCACTACCGTCCAAATACGACACAATCCACAGCAAAAGCTCGTTGGGCAGGTCTCTGATGTTTGGCTGTAATGTATTAGCTCATCGGTAAACTCCGTAAGAACGAATTGAACAGACCATGATGGGACAGCGGATTGAGCAAAGGAAATGTAGATGGGGGTGAGGTGAGAGATGTGAAAGTAGGATATGGGAGGCCTTTATATACTCACCTCAGCCAAATTCCATAGTCAGCTAGGAGTGTAGTCTGTCACTCCGCTGAGAGGTGCGTAGCAAGCAGACGGCAGCAACGAAGCCTTGACAACAATGTTAAGGCGGAGTTGGAGAATCTCTGGAGTCTAGCTCCTGGGAACGCCAAAACTGTTCCTGGTAGTGTGTTCATGAGGAACCGAATCTATCTCCACGTACCCACATCTTGCATCTAGTGCCATAAGAATAAATCACAACGTATCACTCACTTCGAAATTCCGTAGGCAACGCAGAATTTAACGCAGCATTTGTCGACTTCGCTGCCTACCGCAGTAGCCAGTCTGTTCACCACTGCCTGGTCACGGTGGTCTACAACCACAAGTGCAGCTGATTGTAGTAGTGGTCTGGAATGATATCCCTTCATGCAGGCCACTGACCGGCTGTATACGGCGCATACTGCGTGTGAATGCATTCTTCGACGTACCGACTGTTTCAAGGAAGTGTTCCATGCCAGCCACGCAGCCATGTAGGTAAGGAGCCCACGCGATGGCATATAAAGCTGGCGGCGAGGGAACGCCGCAGTGATTGCCCAACACCACCACTATCCGAAGCATTTTCTGTCTTTGACGACCACCTCAATAACTACCATGCTGCCTTGGAATCCGTTTCTGGTTTGTGAGATAGAGGTCAGCCCCAATGGCGGTCCTGGCTCCTGTTGCGGGATGACGAAAAAAGGCGAGCCATGCAAGAACTCGATCAAAGTTGAAGACACCAAGATCGGCCATCAAAAGTTGACCACTCTCGCCAGAGAGCCGTTTGACTTGTTATCGTTGCAGTCGAAGCTCTGTGATATCGCCAGAGACTTCCTCTGCGCGAGATGGCACCGGCAACGGCAGGCCGACCAAGTTGGCCAGCAGTGGTATGAAGCTGCCGTCCGCAACCAGGCGCGAGTACCACATGGCTCCAGAATGGCCTCTCCATCAGTTGTTGTACATCCAGGCCAGCGTCAGACATCGTCAGCCTCCAGGCGACGCCCTGCATCAGACAACACTGGCCCGTCACCTCCTCACAGGCTCAGACAAAACCCGCCGGTGCGGCTTTCAACCAACCCCGAGCCAGTGCAGCCATTCAATCCATTTGTGACTTCTGCAATGCTGCGGACGAACAGTGTTCCATGGCGCGTTTCGCCGACCCGACCAGCCATCCTCTCATCGGCAAC